CCCCCCCCCCCCCCCCCCCCCCCCCCCCCCCCCCCCCCCCCAATGAATCACCCCAGCCCCATACCATGTAAGTGCAGATGCGGGACCCCGAGCCGAAGACGAGCTCGCACTGCTTGTCCTCGTCGAAGACTTCCCCGGGCGAGCGCTTGGCCTGCCTCGCCAGCCCGCTTTGGAGCTGGTTCACCTCCGGCTCGTCCTCCAGGCACTCCCCGTACCCGGCACTGTCACAGCAAAAGATCGTTAGGGTCCTTGCAAATTTCTTAGGTCCTTTCGAAAAATTCCTCTACGATTTCAGCCATTGAGATGTAAAAATAGGGCCTTGGATTTTATTAAAAGAACTTCTTTCAAGGAATTTTCAATTATTTTATCATCGGATTTTATTTTCTAGGAGGAAAGAGATACATCCACTTGTAGCATATTTCATTTTATTAATATTTCCAGCGTCTGAATTTCCCCCTCGATCTTCCGATCCTTCTCACATCGAGACGTAGCAAAGGCGACTCACTCAAGATACTCTGTGAGATAATGCTGCGAGCAGTTAGACCAGGCCCACGGATACGTGTTGTGATCCAGCATCCGCGACATCACGTTCTGGATCCAGTCGTCCCCCTTGTACTGCTGGCACTTGAAGTCGTCGTCGTGCGGCATGTTCAACCTACGCCCAAACGACACCCATGAAGCCCCCCCTTGCGCCATCCACCCCCACCTCCCTCGTCCTCCACCCACTCACACGTGTCCCAGCTCGTGGGCGATGGTGAAAGCGGCGGAGAGCCCGTTGTCTTGCACGATGGAGCAGGATGCCTTCGCGTCGCACATCGTCCCCAGTTCCGCGAGCCCCAGGGTGTCGCACTTTTGCAGGGGGGGTGCAGAGGGGTGTGCTATCTGATGGTGACCCCGGTTGTGTGGATGTGCATACATTTGAGAGGAGGGGGAAGGAATCGAGAAGCTGATAACGCGTGACGTCTTTCTACAAACTCGCAGACAAATGATGCCGTTCGCCTTTATCTTGTCTCTATCTTCCTTCAAATATTTTTCTTTTCACTCTGCATTTTTACAGAAAGCTCGCGAGTTGAAAGCAAAAGTAGCGGCCAAAAGAAAATATTTCAAAAGTGCATTAATAAAGTTTCGGAAAGGATTCGTGGAAAATTTCTACCGCCCCCCCCCCCCCTTGATCCCAGTCGGTACTCATTCGGTACTCGGTACGTGTCGTACTCGTTGTTGCAGCCGGTGTGCAAGCGTCTCTGGTGCACGACGGGGCTGGGCGAGCAGGAGGGATGCCGGACGCAGCACATGCCCTGGGCGGACGGGACGCCCTGCGGACCCGGAAGATGGTGCCAGAGGGGAGACTGCGTCCCCAGGGCCTCCGACCTCAGGCCCATCGATGGGCAGTGGGGATCCTGGCAAGCGTGAGTCTCGGTCGAGGTGGTTACGTTTTTTGGGGGGTTGGTCCTGTGGGAAGCCGCTTCTCGAGATCGACGACGGTGTCTCTCGGTACTGCGAAGTCCGTTAAGATAATGATGCCCTATGCCAGTGGTTCCCAATCTTTTTTTATTTGCGGCACACATAATGACACTTGAACTTTCCACGGCCCACTCAGCCATTTACTTACTTTAAATGGGAAACTTGTGCTTGCTTCGCTGAGCACAGCAGTTTGATACGATGGGTGACAGTGCAACTCTCAGCTCGTTTTCCACTGAGAGATGGCCTTCCCTTTTGTTTTTAAGTCTTTTAGTATTAGTTTTTTAGTTTTTTTTTTTCAACTCTCAAATCTCACGGCACACTTAAGTCTTTCTGGCGGCACACCGTTTGGGAAACACCGGTCTAAGGGGAGGAAAGAAAGAAACCAGATGTGGAAGATCTGGAGGGTGTTCCCTTCCCTCAATTTCAATTTCATCTCTCTCCAAAGACTTGTGAATTTGCTCGTAGTAGTGCCGATATACATAAATTGGCTCGGTGAATTCGCGCGATTGCGTCATGCATGATTTCCCCAAGATTGTTTCTGAGACGTCGTACCGAAGCTACGCCTCGAGTGGCAACACGCTATTTGTCTGGAATGGGAGCTGTCAGATGGTCCAGCACTCTCTTCACTGAAACTTTAAGATTAAATTCGATGGGGTTCGTGTATGAATTTCACGAGGAAAGGAATTTCATACCGTGAAAACCCCTGAACTTCATCCACGATATTATTAATATCGTGGCTGGTAATATCGTGGTACTACTCAATTTAGACTTTAATGAGACTCCCACCGTCGAACGGATGAAGCCATCTGTCGGTAGGCCTAGGCCTACGCGGTTTTCGTGGAGAACGCCAAAATTCAGTGTAGTGTGACGTCATGAATTGGAAAGCTTTGAATTTATTGGTCAATTTGACGCCATGAGCGATGGCGGCTGATCCTTCTAATCGGCGTGCGGGTGCCTGGCGTTTTCCATTGGGCTGTCTAGTCTAGGTATATTTACCATGTCTCTGGATGCGGAGATATCTCATTCGGACATTCGTAAATTAACAGAATGGCGTCCAAGTTGTATTCCATGCTTCCTAGAGGCAATTTCTTCACAGAACTCGTGGAGACGGTTCGAGGAACTCTAGATAGACCTGGCGTTCCTCATCCACACTGAAATGTTTCATAAAACTCGAAATAGGCCTCTAATCGGGCTAACGTTACACGTCCTCGACCAGAGATTAATCCCTGGTCTCGAAGACCAGGGATTAATCATAGGCCTAATTGGCCCAGTAAGTCGAGGGTTGAGTTTCTTTTGAACGAATAAAGGTAGGCCTAGGCCTGACCCGAATACAGTCCGTCGGTTAGGCCTAGGCCAAATGTTAGTGAGTTTCGTAGAAAAGAGGGGAGGGAGGTGATGTGAGGTCATAGAGTAGAGAGTATAACTAGAGGCGACACTCCGAGGGATAGAAGGGGTCGAAATATTACAGTCATCTGGTGGCTTGTTATCAACAACACTTCAATGAGGCGTGCTTCGTGGCAGCGGAATCGGTAATCGATTCGTTCGGGGATTCGACCTAAAAGGATCCCTCAACGTAACACGCGCGTCTCGTTGAGTCAGCTGCTCGGCCGTGGAGGAGTTGTTGATGCGCGCACGCTAGTTGGAGGATCGACGGCGACATCTATATTGCGACCCTGTCAATGAATGGGATTCGAGCGGAGTGGAGCCTCTAGTTATACTCTATGGTGAGGTTGAGGTTTGGATTGGGTTGAAGAAAGGGAAAGCCTTTGAAAAATGGTTTTCACATTACTGCATTTAAATTAATTTTCGGTCCTGTTCCCGAAAGGATTCACTCCCGTCTCGCCCTCTCCCGTGGGAGAAAGCAGGAGCGATAAGGGATTCCGGGGCATCTCGGCAGTCGCCAATCTGGAGAAAAAGGATGGGGAATATTTTCTTTCGGTGGTCGAGGGCAACTGGGTGCGCCTAACGAGGGAAACGCCCGCCATTTACATTAAACTCTATACGAGAGCCTCAAGACCGAAATGAGAGCCTGGTAACCGCCACTCGCACCGGAAATAAAAAGGGCGATTTAGTAGGAAAATAGTGAATTTCGAGTTTTTATCGATCGTCGCCTCTTGTTATCAGTCGCTTCATGTTATCTGGCACCTACGTCATAACGATGGGCTGCATCTACTACAACGGTTCCACTTTTTCGGAAGCCGTGGATGTCATCGTCGATGGAAAATGATGGATTTTTAGAGATACGTCTTTCGGTACTGCGAAAATTCGTTTTGGATTCGCCTCCAATTTTCTCCAAACTTTCCGCCTAGAGTTGTTCCATCGAAATCGACTCGATTTCGTCTCAATCACTCCCTGGATCGTCTGATGACTCGGGATTTAACGGGTCGTCGAAACGAGACGTCGAGAAACAAAACCTCGAGTGCCGAAACGAAACATGACTGCAAAAGACACGATAAAAACTTACTTCGGAGAAAAAAAGTGGGATAGGCCATAACAGAAGGTCGAAAAAGATGGAAAAATGCGTAGTGGGTGTCTCCTTCCCGACGACCGCTCGACGCGTGCGCTCCGAACGGCAGTCATGCACGGAGTCAGAGTGAGTCATGGGACGAGGGAGGATAACGGGAAGGACGAGGGAGGACAAGGGGAAGGACGAGAGGAAGGGAGGACCTTGGGCTCTGTTTCTCTGTAGAATACGTGCCAAATATCGAAACGAGGCCAAGGAACACTAAATGCCGTTCGGAATGGGGGCCCGCGTTTTTCTTTTGATCGCATTGGGAGAAGATGCACGCGATATACCGTAACTAAAATGATTCAGCGTTTAGACGTGTTCGTGTGGAGGGGAGGGGGGAGGGGGAGGGCATTCCACTTTTCGGCGATTCGAGTTTTGCCGTTTCTGCGTTTCGACGTGTTCCAGATTCGATTTTTCGCGACTTCGTCATGCGCCGCGCAAGGTCAGCGCCTCCGGTCGAAACCCGAATTTTTCTGTCAGACCCGAATGTTAAAAATCGACAGTGAGCTCAAACAGGCCACGTTAATCGAGGGCAGGAACAGCGTGAAGCCTTTGTGCGCAGAGAAAAAAAAAAAGGGCGAGAGAGAACGCTCACCCTCTTTTTCTCATCCATCGCGGGGGTTTCCCCATTCTAGTCCATGAGGCCAGCTCCAACTTGGAATCACATATATTACAGTCCTCCATTTTCATGACCTCGATAGAAGATAGTAGATGGAAGATGGAAGGTGGAAGGCGGAAGATGGAAGCATCCGGTCCCTGTGTCATACGTTCCGGAATCTACAGGGTGGACCAAAAATATTTACATTTTCCTCCATTTTATCGCTTTATCCGTTATAGTTAATAAGCGTTCAGGCAATTCGGTGGATAAATGGTACCACTTTTTCTTGATTTAATGCAATTAATTTTTTATTTATTAAATTTTATTTTTATTTTTAAATAATTGCATTCGACCAAGAAAAAGTATTATAATTCATCCTCGAAATTACGTCCTAATTAATACGGGTGTAGCATCGAAATGGAAACGGTGAATTTTTTTGGTCCACCCTGTTATGGTCTCTCCGAATGTTTGAAATTGGAGGCTTACTTACTTGGTGACTCAGGTCAGTTTTCGCTTCAGGATTTGTTTATTGTTGTTAGGAAATTTGAAAGCTTTTTTTCTTCTTCTTTTTTCCTGTTTCGGTAGCGGAAGAATGGAAATTCGAGATTTTGTTGGGGTTTCCTGTTGCTGTTTGTGGAATTTCTGAGTTCTTCCCATTGTCTCTTGGGATTACCTCGGTCCGCATGCAATTGCCGATTGCCAATTGCAAATTTTCCATTGAAAGAAGACGGTGAGTGCTCAAAAAACCTGCGGGAGAAGCTTTAAATAAGAATAAAATCCTCTCTCTCTAAGAAATAGTCCAGGACTGAATCTGCCGCTCTCCGTTGCTTGAGGAGTTCGTGATTTTCTCTTTTCATCTCTTAAATACTTCCGGCAGAATGCCAAAATGCCAAGGGTGGAACACGGCTACCGCGGTTTTGGGCAGATTCACAAAAATTTCCGATGTTGTGCCATGTTTTGCCAAACCCAGTCAAAAGTGTTTCATCGGGCCATTGATGGATTTTCGTCGACGCGTATGTGAGCCTTAGTTGGGCCATCACTGGCATATGGTTGATTTAAGCCGGCTATGGTCGGGCACGTCCTGCTGGCCCTTCATCGGGCCAACTTTGGCTCATTTGTCAGGAAACCGCACATGTCCCAACCATAAGACGACTTTTCACAACGGTGAAACGATATAGGAGAAAAACCCACCTAAACTGCATCTACAGCAGGCGTTCTTCACCTTTTTCTCCCTACGCACCCCCTGAAGCAGAAATGCATCCACCACGCACCCCTCATTATGAATCCCTGATCTACAACATTATGCATCCTTTGATTCCCTACTACTCATCCATCTGTGAGAGGTGTAGG